AAAAATATATATATACATATATGTTTTATTTTCAAATTTGAACCCTCACTCCGTATTGTTATTTTTGACATCCTCAAATTGTACAAGTGGATCAATTATGTTCGACGCGCTTATCAATAGATAAAAGTGTTCAAAAAAAATCTGAAAAATTTATATACCTTTTTTGATCCTTCTAAATAAAAACTAGAATAATAAATTTGAAAAATAATTTACTTAAATATATTATTGCAAATATTATTACCATTTGTTTTCGAGGAATTAATACTGCTAGAAATTGCACGTACAAAAACAACCTACCAGTACGGAGTAAGGGTTAATTATATACATACAGCATTTTATAATTATACTTATCATATACAATGTAATGTACAAAAATGCGCAGCAGGACTTACTTGGAAAATGATGGCTTCTCGCTCGATTTGTGACATATTCTTGAAAATGGTATTAATGATGTTGAGAAACTTGTCTCGTTCGAGAAAACTGGCTTGATCTTTCTCGAAGAAGTCAATAAAATCGTACAGAATAAAGTACGTTCCTGAAACAAAAATATATATCTGTTGAACAAAAGATAAATCTTGTATCATAAAGAGAAGTAAATATTCATAAATATTAATACGCACATACACACAATTCATACTACAATATATCAAAGTCTCCGCGTATTCGTAATATTTTGAAGATAAATTGAAGATAAAATTATTATATTTGGATTAATCCAGCTGAAAAAGTACTCTTAAATTGTTGTTTTTATAAAAATTCTGAAATTTACTTAGAATTAGTGTTATATGTATATTATAATATTTTTAAATTTTTATGATTCTAGAAAAAAAAATAGTATGCAAGTGGGAATATATTAAAAATATTAGGAGAAAAGTGGGAATATATGACATTTTCGAAAAATATAAATGCACGGTTATAAAGTGCATTAAATAACATGAATTCTTTATTTACAATATTTTATCAACATCTCAGTTTCCACGATATTTATTCAAAATTAAACGCACCGAATTAGTTTCAATTCTTAAAAATTATTTCATTTCCAAACGTGCAAGAAAACATTTGTGGAAAACACGTATGTTTTGTTCTGCAATATCTAAAATTAATGAAGAAATGGAAGAAAAATATGTCCGTATATCTCCTTGGAAGCGTGTTCAAGTGATACAGCTAGCAGTTTGTTCCGGCATTGCAACTCTTGTGACATAACGCAACTACTAGAAGCATATACTGACGAAAGCACCACCTCGTAATTCGCAAAGAGACGAACACATTTTTAGAATGCTTTGTTTAATGAAAATGTTGGCTTTGTTTAATGAAAAAAGTTGACCTCGCTGCGCGTTATCATATGTATTTTTGCTCGTTTTCTAACGCGCGAAACTCCGGATTTCCGCTGCTTACACATGCGCGATGCGGAAACTTTATGCCCCCTCTTGGCAAGTGTCGCCTCGGGCGTGCGACTGTCTTTGAAATTGTGTACGAGGGCTTCAAAGAGAACGCGCCTGGAAAAGAAAATGTAGTTTTCCGATACAAAGGATTTTTCTCTCTTTTGTTGAGCAATATATATAACAGGCAGCCAGTTCTTACATCGTAAATATTTCACGCGTGTTATTTTTAGTCAGTTTCTTGAATTCTTTATAGAAAAGCTTAATCTTTTAATTGTCGAATTATAATTAAATTATCTCTATTTATAATTGTCAGTCTAATCTCTCTTTTCACAAGTTTGTTTTTATGCAGTTTTTGAAATTTTGTGACTATTATCTAGTTTTTTATATATTTCCTACTTTATATTTTTTTTAAATGACAGAAATTTGTTGCATACATGAATTAGTATACTTTACTTATCCTCGGCACGTATAATATTTATGTTTGAATTAGACCACCAGTAAAATGTAATGAAATTAGAAAGTTATAAACAAAAGATAAGTATTTCTTCTCTTGTGGCGTATACATATACTATAATTAATTTAATTATAAAATATGAACACGCAAGATTATGGCATTGTATAGTAAAATATAAATTTTATTTCCATTATTCTGTGTCAAAGAGCACGGTAGGGGGACGGAGAGAAAATAGAAATTAATTTCATTAACAAAGTAAACTTTACGTAATTACATTACTGGCATAAAAACTGTCATCAGTGAACAATGTTTATAATAATTCCAGAATGTATATTACGATATCGAGAGAAAAAAAAACAATATGACGAAAGAGAGTATTAGTTTGTAATAAATTTATCATAGATTTCTTGTTTTTACGTATCTATGTCTGCTGCATCGATTAGATATGAGCTTTTCTATGCGATCAAACTTCTATCTACAATTATGCTGCCAAGACTTAGAAGCAAATAGTCTCCTTTAGCACTAATATTAACATTATTAGCACTATTTTCGCGAACACAATCATTTTTAGCATTTAAAATATTATCTTCGCATATCAGAAGTTCCTTTTACGAGCGAGAAATAAATGGCTTTAATTAAAAGGCAAGAGAACCACGGCGCGCGAGTTCTACTTCACGCGTATGGTTAAATGTAAAATTAGAAGATGAAAATTGCTACTACGTTTTCAAAACAGAATTGTTTAATATTTTGATCGATTTTTTTTTGGCAAGATCTAAAAAATCTAACTAAGTATATATCTCAACTTTTATTCTATTCTGTGTAATTTAAAGTTTATGTTAAAATTTCTTTGTTTATGATATCATTAAATAGTATCCGTTAGAGAATTCGAGACAACAGCAGTCATTTGTCTTACATGATCGCTTAATGAGACCATCATAATTAATCCACGATCAATAATTTAAATTATATTATATAATAAATTCTCTTTAGAAATGTTAGTTTGTTTTATATATATTTGAGAAATTTGAAAAGTTGAATATTTTTCCATAATTTCATGATATGGCCACGATTTCGAAAAACCGCAGAAATCTTTTATAATTCATGGCGATAAAAATTGTTTAATATTCATAGTCGTAAATCAAAAAGTATTTTCTGCATATCTTTATATAAGCAGGGGTTTCCTCTCTTTTCAAAAATAAATACGCGATATGGAATGCGCGCACACAAACAGAAAAAGCTGGAAACATAATATATCATGCATTCTACCAAACAATACCAGATATAAGCTATAAAAGAGAAAAAAACATGAGCAGATAGTAAAGGAATTAAGTTCTGTCAAAACGGAGATAGCGTGTTCTAAGATCGGTAGTAACGAAGAAATCTTTTTGCTTTTTGTTTATTTCAATTACCATCGTATGAAAATTTTAACGCGCCGAAAGCTTTCATTCACTTAAGCATAATTTTGTATTTAGCATAATTTCAAAAAAAAGGTCTTGGAAATTATGGAAGAAGTTAATAAAATGTAACTTTTACGAGAAATTTTTATACGCCAACAAAACTAATAAAACTAAGAAATTCAAAACTCAACATTAGTACGCAAAATAATATACATATAAGTAATCATTATTTATTATTATATATAAGCAATCAAAGAGAGAAAGAGAGAGAGAGAGAGAGAATATATATCTCTCTCTCTCACACTAAATAGATACGATTAGTAGTACCTACTGGTAGCGGAGCTTCTTAATCGAACAAACTCGTTTGAGGAAATTGCGAACTCAATTACAGCACGATTAAACGGTAAAAGAGACTGATGTAAACACGTTGCATTCGTGCGACTTTAGATATACAAACGGATTGGAAATTACTAATTAACGTGTCGGGTACACATGGAAACATTTTAGAATTAAATTATAACTTCTCGAATACACAAACACAATCGCTTCAAGAGAACTCCTATAATTTAGTCTCTCTCTCTCTCTCTCTCTCTCTCTCTCTCTCTCTCTCTCTCTCTCTCTCTCTCTCAACAAAACTCTAATAAAACTAAGAAATTTAAAACTCAACATTTACGTCGTACGTTAACATATTACATAATTAAATGAAAAAATATCAAATAATTGTTATTTTGTTTTTTTAATATATGATAATTTGTATTATAAAGAAAGAATTTTGATAAACTTATAGCTTATAAAAAAAAGCGATAATAATAATTCTCCTTTGAAATCCAAATAATAAATATGAACATATGTGAAGTACGCAAAATAATATACATATAAGTAATCATTATTTATTATTATCTCGGTGTTGAATAATGATACATATATACACAAATAACACTTTTTAAGTAAGCAAGCCAAGTGTTTCATAGTTTCTTCGCTACATATAACGCCACTTTTGGGAATTTGCCGACATATGGACTCTCGTGCGTCTAATATTAAACTTAACTTGAGAATTATATCGAAGTCGTGCGACTTTATCAAGTTATCGTGTGCTCGTGTGTATTGCCATTGTGTATGTCATTACATAAAATAAATGTATAATATTTAAAAAAAATAAAAATAAAGATGCCAAACGCACGAGCCTATTAAAAAAATTGTTGTACAAAAAAAGAGATTGATGTACAAAAAAAAAAACGCTTTATTATATCATCATTTCAGAAATATTTTACAATGTTTTCTTTAAATTTGTTTCTTCTACAAAAATGACGATATCGGAAAATTGCGCCAAGACCGTTGCATATATATTAAGAATGTTGTATATCCTCCCGATAAAAATGCAAAATATTATTTGTATTTTACTTATATTTATGTATTTTATACAATATTTTTCTATTAAGAAAAATACTAAATCATTCTTTTCAAGTTATATCAAAATTTGTAAATTAAGTAAGAATTTCAATATATAAATAAAAATTAAATTACATAAATTAATTAAGAAAAGTTGGATAGTATTAATATATTTTAAACTGTCTATAAGTCATATCCAATATATAAAATTTACGGACGTGTTTTCATACCTATAACATGTCAATTTTTAATAATACAGAACAAATTTTTTTACTTAAAATTCTAGTCGCAATTTTACCAAAAACAAACATTGCAAATTTAATAAAAAAGCGAACAGAATGGAATTTAAGCCTATGTAAAGTAATGTCAATATATGAGAGAAATATTGTCACATCTTTAAAAAACATACAAAAATATTTCTTTTTGTCTTTATAGAATTGTCGTTTTTTGTTACTAAAGTATATAACTAGATATGCTTCTGACAGAGGAGAGATACGAGAATATGTTTAGAGAACCCTCCCTAGCATAAAGCTTGAAATTTAAATTCAGCTTCTCTGATTCAACGTTATAAAATATAAAGGCTTATATTAATAATTTAAGAATAATATTTGGAAACATATAAAGATAATATACAAAAAGTGATTATATATATTTGATGAACAATATGCAATAAGATTGATATTAGATGAATTTGAAGAGGAACTGCACGGATCAGATACAGGTCAAAAGTTAATAAGTGTAAAACACATTTCAAGATGAACTTACAAATTAATTATTAATGTTATATTTTAAAAGTGTTTTGTGCAATGTTAAATTCATGAATCTTGAGATGTATTAGATTTATTAAGTTTTGACGTGTAGCTGATCCGTCCAGTTCCTCCTCAAAAAGTATAGAATTGCCGATTGCGCACAA